AACGTCGGCCTGGTATTCGATCTCAATCTTAGGTTTGGCGGCACCCTTGGTCGCCTTGTACGGAGTGAGTAAGGTTTCGTATGGCCGTCGTAACTGCAGATCGAGGTAGGAGATTTTGATTTCCGTCCCGGAACCGAACGGGAGCTATACAGAAACGCATCTGTCAATGGCAAATTCGGTACCTCGGGATAGAGTGGTGCCCTGGCGCGGACAGCTACGCGCCACACTCTATAAATGGTGTTGGACTCGAGGGTGCAGACGGTTTCGCAGCTTAGGACAGTTTCGGTCTCGTATTCAGGGAATGCGTGCATGTCCTTGCGATCCGGTGGAAATCCGGGCCGTGGTCTGACGGTAACGCGCCCTTAGGGGAAACACGCGTTCCGGACCACGGTGGGTAGCCGGCGACCCTAAGACGCCGAAATGTCAGTCACTGGTATGGGGCGGTCGAGGTTCCGAAGCAATGAGCTGAGTTCTGTGCCTGGGGTGGCTAGGCAAGTATGGGCGGACTTGGGCACCCTAGCCCGGAGGCCCTGTGATCTCTAAGTGAGAAGGCGAGCTCAGTGATCCTTTTGGCGAGTGGCCGTCACGAAGATCGAACGTTCCGACGCCATGGATGGCCCGTGTGAGGTGAAATCCGAGCACCGAGCGCGGGTGGCACAGTGTCTATGAAGCGTCGGGCTTGGACCCTGCTGAGAGTTAACTAGGCCAAAGTTTCCGAACAACACCGGCCGAAGTGACTCGATGAAGCACGGCCTTGACTAGTAGCAGAGCTCTGGTGCAGAAAGGGGGGGGGGGCTAAACGCCCCCCTCCCTTTCAATCCCCCCCCGTTCGGTCGTACCTATGACTCTCGTAAGTGACTAAGCAAACTTGGTTTTTGTGTAAATTTCTTCTCACATTTGTCGCACGCGAAATCTTTGCGACCCCCATGGACCGTTTTTATGTGCAAAAGCAAATTTTGTTTACTTCTAAATGTCTTTCCGCAATCGGCACATAAATGATCTGTAAAAAGCTTGAAATATTTTTGACTTCCATGTTGTATCTTCTGATGGAAGAGCAAACCCGATTTTTGTCCAAATGTCTCCCCGCACTTGTCACAAGCAAAATCTTTAGGACCCTCATGGACTGTCGTGGAATATTTTGTTGTGTTTAAGTAAAGTTAATTTACTTTCAAATTTTCTCTCGCACTTATTGCATGAGTAATCTTCGCGATCTTTGTGTACCAATTTTTGGTGCGTGAACAAACTCGACTTTTTCACAAATTTCTTCTCGCACTTGTTGCATGCAAAATCTTTGCGGCTCTTGTGTTCTAATATTTGCTGTCTACTCAAATGACATTATTATTGTTCAAGTGAGATCATATATTGTTTACAATATATTCTATGATAATCTATCTATTTATTATGTTCTTACGTTGAATTAGTTTAACGACATATCAACAATCAACATCAGAGTAACATCAAGGAAATAGATCGTTATATTTCACAAAATAGTATATTTCTCAACGGGTGCACATATGGTTTTTTAGCAAAACGAGGGATTATAGCACGAGCCGAAGGCGAGTGTTGTAACGAGTTTTGTTAAAAAACCATATCTGCACCAGTTTGAGATACTATTTTTTCCTACGAGAGCCTAAAATTAGCGGCAAAGTTGCGTATTTTAGGTTAGAGTGGGGAAAAAAACATTGGCATATGCCATAACCATCCACTGATGATTACTAATGAGAAATTCGAATGAGTACTACGATATTAAAAACGATCTATCACATCGTCTAATGTCATTATTTTTAGAGTAAAATCATTTTCCTGCTACGGAAAAATGTTTTCATGTTCAGAACATTGAATTAAACTCAAATCAAATTATGATAAGTCATTGGGAGTAGTTATTATAGTCCTACATGAAATTTGGTTCAAAAATAAAATACCACCACAATAGGAAACAAAGGTATGAAAAGTTAGATCGACGTACAAGGTTCGAGTTAGAAATAATTATATTAGTGAAATCGGATTAAACTGCGCATGTTGCAATAATGCGAAGAAATCATTTTTATCACAAATGTAATCTTAATAATCTCCAAGAATCATCCGGTAGGTAGTTTCTGTGATTTTTCTCAACTGTTTATAGTAGTCAACTCGAATTGGATAGAGATAAACGAAATCGTAATGAACTTCGTGTCCTGTCTTCTAGTGCTTGATAAAATTTATTTTTACTCCAAATTCTTGCAATAGTCGCATGCGTAATTATTGCGACCTTAGTGTAATGATTTAAGGTGGGTGAGCAAATTGAATTTTCGTCCAAATTTCTTTTCACGCTTGTCGCACGTATAATCTTTGTGACCTTCATGGACTATCTTACGATGCCCAAACAAATCTGATCTTTTTCCAAATTTTCTCTCACAATTGTTGCATGAATAATCTCTGAGACCCTCGTGCACTGCATTCTGGTGTGCTCTCAAATTGCTTGAATCTCCAAATTTTTTCTCGCATTTGTCACATGAGTAATCTTTTCGACCTTCATGGACTGTCTTCTGGTATAAAAGCAAATTATATTTTTGTCCAAATTTTTTCTCGCACTTGTCACATGCAAAATCTTTGCAAAGTTCGTGTACTGTCTTTTGGTGTAAGAGCAAATGCGATTTTCGAGCGAATTTTTTATCGCACTTGTTGCATGCGAAATCTCTCCCACCTTCGTGTATTATCTTTTGGTGTCTGATCAAATGCTGTTTATGTCTGAATTTCCACTCGGAGTTGTCACATTCAAAATCATTGCGGTTTTCATGCACTATTTTTTGTGGGTAAGTAAATTCGAATTTAGTCGAAATTTCTCCTCGCACTTGTCACGTACAAAATCTTTACGATCGTCGTGTACTGTTTTTATGTGCAAGAGCAATCTCCGTTGATTTACAAATTTCCTCGCGCATTTGTCGCATGAGTAGTTTATGCGACGCTCATGCATTATTTTTTGGTACCGAGTTAGGTTCGATTTTTTACCAAATTTCTTCTCACATTTGTCACATGCTTAATCTTTTCGACCTTCATGAACTGTCTTTTGGTGAAAGAGCAAATGAGATTTTCGTCCAAATTTTTTTTTGCATTTGTCGCAAGCGAAATCTTTGATCCCTTCGTGTACTGTCTTCAAGTGCAAGAACAAATTAGATTTAAGTCCAAATTTTTTCTCGCACTTGTCGCATGCAAAATCTTTGCAAAGTTCGTGTACAGTTTTTAGGTGATCCAGCAAATGATGTTTTACTCCAAATTTTTTCTCGCATTTGTCGCACTCGTAGTCTTTGCGGCCCTCGTGTACTACCTTTTGGTGGAGAAGCAAAGTATGTTTATGTCCAAATTTCTTTTCGCAATATTCGCATGTGTAATCCTTCAGACCTTCGTGAACTACCCTATGGTGTATGCGCAGAGTCGATTGTTTTGCAAATTTTTTCTCGCAATTATCGCATGCGTAATCTTTACGACCTTCGTGGACTGTTTTTTGGTGAGAAAGCAAGTGCGATTTGAATCCAAATTTCCTCTCGCACTTTTCACATGCGAAATCTTTACGACCTTCATGGACAGTTTTTTGGTGGCAAAGTAAATGAACTTTTTGTGTAAATTTCTTCTCACACTTGCCACAAGTAAAATCTTTATGACTTTCATGTACTGTCTTTTGGTGTAAAAGCAAAATCGATTTTTGTCCAAATTTTTGCCCACATTTGTCGCACGCATAATCTTTACGACCTTCGTATACTGTTTTTTGGTGGGTGAGCAAATGTCTTTTTTGTGCAAATTTCAGCTCACATTTGTCGCCAGCGTAGTCTTTAGGGCCCTCGTGGACTGTATTTTGATGAAAAAGCAAATGCGATTGTTTTCTAAATTTCTCCTCGCACTCGTTGCTTGCGAAATCTTTGCGAATCTCCTGTACTGTCGTTTGGTGTCTGTTAAATTTCGATTTTGGTTCAAATTTTTTTAGGCGTTGGTCATGTACTGTCTTTATGTGAGCGAGCAAACTATGTTTATTTCCAAATCTCTTCGCGCACTTTTCACATAAGTAATCTTTGAAGACTTCGTGAAATATTTTTTTATGTTTGAGTAAATTTGATTTATTTTCAAATTTTCTCTCACACTTGTTACATGAAAAATCTTTGCGTTTTTTGTGTACCAATTTTTGATGCTTTAACAAACTTGATTTTGTCACAAATTTTTTTTCACACTGATCGCATGAAAAATCTTTTCGGCCTTTGTGTTCTGATACTTGGTGTCTACTTAAATGACTTCGGAACTCAAATTTCTCACCGCACTTGTTGCATGCAAAATTTTTCTGAACATTGTGAATTATGTTTCGGTGAGTTATCATGCTCGATTCCAATGTAAATGCCTCCTGACAAATATCACATACATATTGTTTGTCGTTTAAAACAACATTGTCGTATTTACTTCGATTATCTCTGGAGACAAATTCATTGGATTTTTTCTCACTTTTATCCATTTCGTCGTCTAAAATGAACGATAGATTCCCCAATTTAGTGCCACGTAAATTGATTGATTTGTCTTCTAGTATTAAGGTGTATTTCATCGGGAAAGACAACATTGAAACTAATTTGTTTTCACTATAATTATGATCAGCGTGAAGAGGTCAAAATCGTTCATGATTATATTATTTACTATGAAATTATATTTATCTGTTCATTCATTGTCCTTGCAATATTTAAAGTTTAAAATTCTAACTTGGCGACAACTTAGAAGTTATTTGGCCCTACAAAATCAAATGCTTGAAAAAGTATTCGCCGCCCCACGCCAGGTAGTGGATAGCACTCTTCGTAAGTCGCCATCGATTATACTAAGGTTTTACTTAAAATGAAGAAATAAAATGAATGCAAGTATTTTATTTATTTGAAAAACTTGAGTTTCAAAATTATTTGATACTCTGAATATATTTATTTTGCTAAAATATTAAACGATTAATACAGTGAGATCCAGGTAGAGATGTAAGAACTATTGATACCACAAGTGGATTATTCTTTTATTACATACTTTATTATTATTTACTTAATTCAAACAACAATGTTTTGCTAAGCTTAATTAACATAAATAATTTTTTATACAAAAATATTATTAGCTTTATGAGTAACAACTTGACGTTGAAAAAGACACTGTAATGGTTTTAAAGTCAAGTAGCTTACATATTTAAATACTATATGCACGATGTAAATAAGTCACGATTATTTTTTTATAAATATAAAATGCTTATAAAGTGCAGAAGGTAATGTGTACTTTTTTTATTGGTCTGTGAATTCACTTATTTTTTAAGATATTAACCTGTATTCGATCCATCCTCATTTCGTGTTCGTATTCGCTTTACAGTCATAAGCATATGAATTATATTGAAAATACTTCTGAAATACTTATTCATGTTAAGCGTGGTAAGCAACGATCTTTTTTTATTTATATTATGAATATGTTGAGTTTCACAAAACTTATTTTTGTATGGGAGTATAAAAAAGAAATATTCATCAAAAATTAACTTCTCAAAAATATAAGTAAGAAAAAATAGAAGAAAAGAATACACCTATAAAAAAAAATTGACTAATGACGTGTGTATGGCGTTAAAAAACTTTCATGAATAATTTTACATTCAAAAAGTAACTTTAATCGTTCAAGAATGCTCATGTTTTACTCATTTAAAATCACAACCGAAGCCTCTCTTGATACACTGGGACGACATACGGTGGGATAAATTCAGTGTTCAAATACTCTCGTACAAATACAATTTTTGTTTATTTTTTTTTTTTTTTTTTTAAATCAATAACTTTTTTTGGACTAATATCAATTATCAATTATTGTTTAAAATATTTATACATCAAAACGAGAGATATTTTATGTATGAAATAAATGAGCAGTTACCGCACTTGCAAGCTCACGTTTATCAGAATCACCTCCAAAGTAAATAAAATCAATATCATCTTTTAGTCAAAGAAAAAAAATTCAAATCATAAAAGTAATCAACACCATCACTTAAAATGCCCTAACTTATTCATAATTCTAATTTAAAAATTGCAATAAGACTCTATTAATACGTAAATCAATGAAGTAAACTGAGTTGAGATTAAAATTCGAACGTAACAAAAAAAAGTTAAATCATCATTTGGTATATATCAATTTTCCACTGATGATATGGCAGTATCCCGAAAGAGAACTGTAAAAAAAAACAATCGATTTTACAATGTTTATCAAATTTCTCATTTTATAATGACTCCACTTATTAAGCGTGACTTACGTATTTCTCGAATAGATGCTTATTTTCCAGCTTTGGAAGTATCTTAAAAGTTAACATAAGCGTCTTTGCGCCCACCTGCACTATATTATTCTGAAGATTCCTTAATCTGCTAAATTAAATGTTAAAGCCCTCATTCGTTAAGGATAAGCGCTTGTTTACGGTATATTCCCAGTCGTTTGAAAGGTTGATTGGCAAATTAGCGTTTTTGTTTTGTTGTCGAAAATTCTTATTGTTTTACATCACATTAAACTTTGTATGCGCCCACGGACATGGCAAATTCGTGTAGTGCTTCGTTATTGTACGCAAGGTCGTACCGGTGATCCCAAGACTACCACCAGGCGCCCATTTGACTTGGACTGTTGATAATAAACATAGCGCAAAAATTAATATTTTTTCCTTCATTTATATCGTTAATGTTTTTGTTGTTTGCTTTTTTTTTGTGTTTTGTAACTCACCACGCACACCGAGGTAATGTGAAAGTCCAGTCGGAATCGTTAACGGATCTAGCACAAAGAATTGTTTACCTTGGAATTATTATTGGAAATTTATTGTATAAACGACTACGGGTAACGGCGTCTCGATTACGCGATACAGAAAAAGTGTTGGAGTTCAATTAAAATCGCGCGCGCGGATGTCCACATATGCACACGGCACATGTCATTATGACTGGTTACATGTTTTGTAACTCGTCACGTTGCGCAGACGCGTTAAAGTATTAATGTCACGGTTTCTAAATATAACTCTCGATTATCGTACTTATATATATTTCCGAAAGGATTTTCACATGAACTCCAAGTATGATATAAAGGCACGAGGACGCAACAAATACACGGGCTTGGATCGCAAAAATCTTTTCTTTTTTTTTTTCATTATCATTACCATTGTGACAGATCGCTGCCCGTGTCCTGTGTATTATTGGTGCCGATCTCCTCGAGGATGGGCTTGGAGCCGAAACCCTCGATGTCGAGATCGAGAAACAGCTGGCCGAGCTGGTCGTTGACGAGGCTCGGCTGCTTAGTGGATTTGAGGAACTCGAGGTCGCGCTGAAGTACGCTGTCGAGGGAGCGAGAGTTGAGCTGAAATTGATAGATCAGCTCGGTGGTAAGATTCACTTCCTCGATCCAGGATGGCTCTTTGCGAGTGACGCCGAAGGACTTGTTGCTGCCCTATTGAAAAAAAACATGTGGGGACCTGCGAGGTATATCTAATAGGTTTACGTATGGGGACATGCATAAGTTCCAATCAGTGGCCTCCTACGATTACCCACACGGAGACCCACAAGGTATTTTGTCGTGGGTTCCCATATGGTAAACCATATGTTTTAATAAAAAATATTAAAAAATTTCTATTGTTCCATTAACTGTAAAGATAGTTACACCTTCTCGTGATTCAATTATAAATTATATTTGATTTTAAAATTAATGATATGAAAATATAATTTTGAAAATCTGGCGAATAAAAATAATATATATTTATACATGTGCATGAAAATGTAAATTTATTTTTTAAATATTTCAGTACTAAATCATACAAAATATAAGCTTACATATTTTTACGGAATTACATTAACATTATTTTACGTTTAAGTAAGACATACAATTTGGAATTATAGATCACGTTTTTATAATCATAAAAAAATACATTAAATTACATTAATAGTGTACTAAATTGGGCAGTTCTGATATATAATTATCATTTTCAACATTCATATGAGTACAAATTGATTCAAGTTCGCTAACATCAACTATTTTTTTTTCTACTTCAAAGTTAGATTCAAGTTTAAAAATTGATATACTCATGTTTTCATTTGTTTTTAAAAAATTACATCGTAAGAATTGTAAATTCATTTCATGGTTTACAATAAAATACAAAATATATACAAATTTACCATTCTTCAATTTTGCGTAACTATTGCAAGAACGTTTCTGTCGATCGGTTGTACTTGTGTATAAACAGCCATCTTTAATTGCGCGATAATAAATATACGTAGAATCAAAAGGTAAGTTTAATAATTTCATTATATGATCAGATGGAATAGACCCTTGCCCCAAATATGTAACACCGTTTACATTAATAGAATTTCTATGCCTGGTGATTGCAGTTTTCTCACAATAATCAATGACACTCGGTGATGAAAATGGATATATACAATTTTCTAATATTTTTGTTACTTTTTTTATGTTTAAATAGCGCAGTATTTGCAAATTTACGCCATTGGCGCAATGTATTGCTTGCAACATTTCATGGTTCGCTGCTTCAAATGAAAATGCAGAATGATCAAAAAGAGGACCCCAATCTGCAACGCTGGTAGCTAAATGAAGTAGTGAATGAATGTTGGAAGTCATAGCTGATTTAGTAAACTCTTTTTCAGTTCTTTCTACAAATAAGTGCAATTTTTGATCGGCTAGATTTAATTCATCATACGTTATTCGGTGTTTCAATAAAATAAAAAGACTCTCAACTAAAAGTTTCCAATAATTACACATTACTTCACTAAAAACTTTTTTAAACAATGGTAAGCTATAGTGTATGATAAAATTTTCCCACTCTTTGGCTTTCCATTGAGAACGCTCACTCAGTGGTCGAGTTAAACGCGATACTTGATGAGGGACTTTCAGTGCCTCCATCATAGAATCAAGCAAAATTAGTTCATCTTTTGAAAGCAATTGAAGCAATAATTCGACTACTTGTTTACCTACACCGGACAAATAGCTATGCATGTAATCTGAAGGAAAGGACTTTATAATATCTATACTACTGACGTTAATTAAAGGTGTTACAGATTTGATGCCATAGATTTTTTTCTTCGATTTTTTCACTAATTCACTCAAATGCTTTAGAGTATCATCTTTTTCTCTGAAAAGTATCGGTGTCGAAATTATCGGATACCGAACACAACGATCAAAATAATCACCAGGATGATAACATTGGTTGCACCCATAGTGGCCATTAAATTGTATGAACCCTTGCATCGGCGCTCGGGCTACTGAGTCCACGCATACAAGAATTACATACAATTTCAATTCCACTACTTCGTTATTAATTTGGCAACTTATACCTTTTTCTGATAATTTGATCAAAAAGTCTGCTATTGGATCTAAAAATGCTTGCATAGGAGGCTTATGTTTACCAAACCACATTGCGATTGGTATTACATTTTTGCCAGTTGAATCACACGGAAGCTCGTTTATTTTTAAATATACAGGCCAAATAGAATAGACCGAACTCTCAAATCGAGGAGCTCCGTCTGAATTTAAAATTGCTGTCAAGTATCGATATTTTTCGTCATCCTTCAAAGAATTTACAAATTTTCGGTAGCATTTTCCATCGAAAATGCGTTTAAGAGTGCCATCATAACTTCTTTCTTTAACAACATAATTATAGTAATCTTTATTTTCTTCGATGAGCATTGCTATTATATCCGATGGATCTATTATGATGAATAAATTTTCACATGAAGGCTGTGATAAGTCTACATCCGTACCGCAAAATTTACAATTTACATGTGAATTGGGCTGAACTTTACCTATGTAAGTAAGGCAATTTGGACATATGCCGTGAAATTCAATTATCGATTGAGACCGAAAAATTTTATCAATGTAATATTTACTTCTCGGTAAAATTGGCTGACTAAACATATGATTAATCAAATCAAATAAATTGAATAATTTGGTCAGGGGCAACTTACACGATAATGCGTGTTTTAAGGCCATCAATAATATTTCTGCTGTACTTTTGTTCACAGGGGTCGAAATTGATTGAAAAAAATTGTTATCACTTAACATATATTGAAGATCTCTTGGCTTGCTAAGGTCATTTTCCTTGGAACATTCTTCAATATTGTCCAAAAGTTCTTGCACTAAGATTGGGCTCCACGTCGTGCCTTCGTCATAATTCATTTTCACCTAGAACATATGAACAAACATTTTAATATACCTGTACTTCATAATAGTAAAACTAAATTTAAAGTAAATTAGCATAATAATAGTTTATAATAAAACATACACCACCAAGTTCAGATGAATTTTCAATTTCATCACTTCTGTGTAGTCTCTCCTCTATACGATCTACAGTTTCAGTAAAAGAACTCGTGCAATTATTTGTTTGAAGTATCGGTATTGCAGCGATGGTAGGTTCATTCAATTTATAACTTGACTCTTCATTTCTTGGTATTTCCGATTCTTCAGAGAAGCTTGCCTCATGTTTTTGAGCATTATTTGAGCACAAATCAAATGAATTATCACATAATTTTTGTTTTCTTTCGAATTGAACTTCAACAGTTCTAAGGAGATCAGCATTTGTGCGCTGAAAAAATGTTAAAACCCCGCAATAGATTTCAAAATCATATATATTTGTCGATAATGAATAAAATTGTTTATACTTACACGTGGTCTATTCCGTTTAAGTCTTTGCAAAGATCTCTTTGATAAGTGGTCTATATCTCCACTGTCTAAATAATTTTTGTAGCTAACCATCTCAATAAAAAGAAGCGAGTAACTGTAAAAACGCTACTTGCTGCACACTTGCACTCAATTCAGCAACGTATAGGGAGCTATTCACTCTTTTGCATTTACATATAAATCGTGGTTATGTAGTGATTTGCAATGATTCTTCAAAACAGAAAACTAAGATAAATGTAAAACTAACGATACGAAAAACCATTAAACGAGTTTATCGAAATCTCCGCGACAGTTATTTATAGTAGTCAGTAGCCTCGCTATGTTTTTACTACGACGAGTAAGCAGTGAGAACAAATGATTGTTGTGTTTATCGAATACACGCGTGATGCGATGCTATTCCGCGCTGCGGCCGGGGGCTTGACACTCCACAGCGTCGAGATTCAGCTAGCTCCCACTGCACGAAGTAGCATGCGAGAAAGCCACTGCTCAGCGCTCATGTCTTTATAACGTGTGTGTAGCGTCGTGTTTCTCTGTCTCTCTCGCGCTTGCTTGCCTCGCTCTCGATGTGCGTGTTCGTACGGGTTTCACAGTTGAGCGACAACATATACTGTATGGCTCGCGCATGCATGCATCATACTTCTCCCGCTCTTCGTGTCTGTTGTGTGCGATACTGTAACGAAGGAACGCTCTTTGGTCTACACTCATCGCGGGATTTTTCGTTTTTGTGAAGTACATTACGTATACAATCAGAGACTTCAAAATGAGTGAAGTTACGCATGCAAAAGTTCGGTTTACTTGTGACAAGTCTATAAAAGTATTACCTATAAGTGATATACAAGAATTAAAGCTAAAAAAACCAACGAATAAACGTGATTTCAATCCAAACGCGTTATACAATGCTTTGTGGATGGATTCAAAAAACCCTGAAGGAGTTATTTTATCAGTACAAGTTGGCGAATTAGCATGTAATAAACCTTTTTATATAAAGATGTAACAAGATTTATTTTGATTATAGACTAACTGTTGAACGATTACAGGTGGAGAACAAGAAAGAAAGACTCTTGAAAAAAAAAAAAGAATATCTTTTCCAACAGTAACCACCAGTGATTTAGACAAATTTTCAGCCGAGAGTAGTTCTGAAATTTCAAATAATATTGCTAGTAGAACTAGAAAGAGACAAAGAGTTAGTACTTGTTTATGCAATGCTTCCAAGCATATATATTTATTTTATGCATTATTAGTATTATATCCTTTTACATTTTTTTACAGACTGAAAAGAATACTCAGATTGCAAACGCTAAAAAAGATAGCAATAAAAAAAATTTGAAGAAATTCAAACAAACAACAGCCCACATGCAATCAAGAAAGCCCCTCGACGATTCAATCAATGGAAAATCTTCTGAAATTTCTATAGCAACATTACAAGAGATACATAATTCATTACAAGACTTGAGAAGAAATGCAGTATCTCCCTGCAAATGGTCTGATGAGGAAGGTGAAAAAACTGATGAAGAATTCAATTCGAAAGGATTAGTTGACCCAAGTATAATACCATTTTTAATTCAATGAATGATTATTTATGGAAATTTTTATGTAAAGATAATTAAAATTCATACGTTGATCTTATTTTATTTTTTATAGCAAAAAGTAAAGATTCTACTTCTATTCGTTCACCTGCACATAATGAAGATGCACCTCAAACTCCCAAAAGTTCAAACCAAAGTGGCCATATGATGTCCAAGCAAAGCTCAATCTTAGATACGAATGTTCAATTAAAAGGTAAGACAGACAGAAAAGTTTAGTACGTAAACCTAAAAATGTTTACCTTGCTAAGAGTTTAATTCAAACTCTCATTTTTAAATATTTATAAGTATTTGTCATGAGCATTCACTTGTGATATACAAATTATAAGTTGTCTTTTGATACATTATTTAAATATTAAACTAAAAAATAAATAATAATCTCTAATTTGATCTTAATTTATGTTTTACAGAAAAGAGGAACGCCTGTGGTACTCTTAATTCTTCTACTCATTATAACAGTGCACCTCACATGCCAGAAATTTCAAATCCAAGTAACCCAATGACGTCCAAGCAAAGCTCAATCTTGGATACGAATGCTCAATTAAAAGGTAAAACAGACAGAAAAGTTTAGTAAATAAACCTAAAAATGATTACTTTGCTAAGAGTTTAATTGAACTCTCATTTTCAAATATTTATATTATAATATAATCAGTATTTGTCATTACTTAAAATCATTAATTTGATCTTAATTTATGTTTTACAGAAAAGAGTGGTGGTACTCTTAATTCGTCTACTCATGATGACAGTGCACCTCACACGCTAGGAAATGTTGATTTTGATCTTCAACAACTACATGAAGATGAATACGAAATGGATCATAATAATTCTGATTTATCTGTGCCCAGTATCGAATCAAATTTGGAAGAGTTAGTAGAGCATGATAAAAACCGAAGAAGTAATGAGTCTGCTCAAGGAAGAAGAGGTCTTAATAATATTGAACGCGCTGAAGTTAGGGAAGATCCACCAAACCTACATCCAGCTATCCCACCTTTACAGGAACAGATTGGTCTTGGAGGAAATGAAGCATTACAAGATATCGACAATCGAAACAATGAAAATCGTGGTAGGGCAAGGTTGCCCAGAAGACCCAATCACTATACATACTGGCGTCTTAAGAGACAAAGTAAATTCTAGTTGTTTTAATTACTTTATTTTCAAAAATATTTTTATTTCATAATGGATATATTTTTTCTGAAGGAGCTGATGTATTGGATGGTGTTGATGCGCAAGTGGATTTGTCAAATAGACTAGTCGTCCCTGATGCAGAAGATATTGATCCCGAAGGAAGGGTCAAGTATGAAGTGATTGGAGAAAAGGTTAGTAATATAAATATAAAATCATTGCATTACAATGTTCTCCCTTGGTCTCTATGACGTTTCTGTTTTTCCCAGCTTAGGGTAATAATATAAAACTTAAATGAGGTCTACAATAACTCATTGAGCGAGAGATTTCTACGACAACTTACTTTAAAAAAACAATTTTTGATTTTCAGACATACTTAGGAGGTGGTAAAATGGTTAAAACCGAGGCGTGGAATGTAACAAAAAAACGTTCTGCTTGGATTTTTCTAAAAGATGTGAGCCAAATGATATGGGGCAAAAGAACGTTGGTTAATAGGTGCGTCAACCCTTCACAAGCATACATTCGATTAATAGATAGAAGTCCCAGAAAGCAGATGACGCCTCGAAAATATAAAGTTGTTAAAGGTAATAATTTTTAAATCATAAAATTAATGTTTTCTTTTAACAAGTCATCAATGTATTTATACATAAATCTTTTTTTAGAATTATTCGACGATTATTTGGAGGATCATGAAAATTTAAAATCAAAGAAAATGTTAATGTTCAATAAAATGAACCTCAAGATTGGAGAAAAAATAAAGGATTTGAGAGAATCAAATTATGAAGAAATTAAAGACAATAATATAATAAATTAAGAAATACATGTTTTTATAGTATAGTTGATGTATTACATTATTGAATTGATGTTAAATGTAATATATATAGATTTAATAATGTAAATCTTTAAAGATATGTTAGCTTATGTTTTGTATGATTTAGAATTTAAATATTTAAAAAATAAATTGACATTTTCATGTACATGTATAAACATATACTATTTTTATTTGCCAGATCTTCAAAATTATATTTTTATATCATTAATTTTAAAATCAAATATAATTAATAATTGAAACACGAGAAGGTGTAACTATCTTTACAATTAATGGAACAATTGAAATTTTTTAATATTTTTTATTAAAACATATGGTTTACCATATGGGAACCCACGACAAAACACCTTGTGGGTCTCCGTGTGGGTAATCGTAGGAGGCCACTGATTGGAACTCATGTATGTCCCCATACGTAAACCTATTAGATATACCTCGTAGGTCCCCACATTTTTTTTTTCAATAGGGACGCAAGAGAATAGCACGTTCATATATCGATAACGAACGTCAGCCCTCGTATACACGTTTTTGCTCACTGTGAAAGAGTAACAATTATATGTATTATAAGCAATAAGTGATATTAATTAATTTCAAGTATAAGTGAATATTATTTTCATTAAGTGCATAAAACATTTGTCGGGACAAATTTTTGCATACACGATGACATTGTTTGTTGAAAATTTAACAAGTTTTGAGAAACATATAGCTAAAGTGTTGATCGAAAATTTTACCTCAGCGGAAGATATTTGTTCGATAACAACGAATCTAGTACGAAAAGTAAGTTTATATGTTTTATTAAATTATGCCTGTGACGGTGCACACTCAATATTGTTAAGCTGACCATTCGTGTGTTAGGTAAGCTTAAATCGTTTTCGTTGGCCCACATTTTTTTTGTCTTGTGAACATCGTAGCATTGTGGTAACAATGATCAACGATGACGCGCACGTAGGTGCAAATTGCAAATGTTACAATTTAAAATCCCATTATCTTATCATCTTACGAGAAAGATATTTGAAAAAAATATCCCACGCATCATCCGATCATGTTGACTCGCTTAAAAAATATGGTACATAGTCTGCGGCGCGTCACAACTGATGATGAACATTTATGCATAACACCTTCTCGCACGCGCGATTTACACAACTTGGTAAATTACTACCCCCAATACAACAAAAAACGTAGCGTTTGTTCTTGCACGATCCATGCTCGTTTTTACAGAATACATTTAAAAATCGTCGATAATCAATCGTGCCTTTGACCCTAGCCTTATGCTTTTAAGTTGCGAGTGGCGTCTCGCTCTATCGATCATAATAAATTCAGCTAAAAATAAATTTTAACAATTTGAACTCAAATTTCGATATGGTACACGTCCACTCGTAAACTCGCTGCCAACGGATTCCGCTTAACCTTCAAAGAAATGCTCAATAAATAACAAGCTATAACTTGTAAAGCGGTGGACTCACACCCCTCTGCGACGTCAGGTTCGCTAGCTACTGATAAACAAGTGAACATTATAAAGCGTGAAGCATGGTTAGTAGTCTTGATGTCTCAAAGTCAGCAATAAAGATCGGCTTTGCGTATTGTTCTTCTGGAATCATTGCATATACACTGATAGAACTTTCAGAACGAGGCAAGTCGCGCCATGTCTGCCGCGCTCAGCATAGCAGCCGCTGCCTTACGCTTAGCGCGCGGCTTGCCCGTGTTAGCAAGAGTTGCACTGACACAAGCGGACTTAGCTCTTGCCGTCAGCGCTATACGCTTTACGCTATACGCTATACCCGCTATACGCTATACGCGCTGACGGCAAGAGCGACGTCCGCTTCAGTCCTACTCTCGCTTACGCGGGAAAGCCGCGCGCTTACTGTAAGGCTGCCTCGCGCTGAAAGGTCTAATATGTGCAATGTTTATAAATTCTCATTTTCATACAAATATGTATTTTATTGGGTATTTCTCGTTAGCACATTATGCACGTTTACACACGGTGTTTACGGAAATGTAATGTATCGCCTCTTACTCATAAATGGCTGCATGTTGTATGTCAGCGGAAACAATACTTTTTTGTTGGTCCAATATCTGTGTGACTATGCAATCTCGTACAACAACTTGAGGTCGACAAATCTCATATTATATGTTACTGGGACCTTTTTTTCTGACCTCATGTATGTGAAACATGCATCTCCGTCTCTCTCTCTCTCTCTCTCTCTCTCTCGCTGGCTGATTCACTTTCGCTTTATCTGTGTTTCGTTTTCATGTTTCTAATGGCTGTACGTATGATCAACTTACACTATTTTTATGTCAAAGTCGATTGTAACATTTTTTAAAAGTACGACAATCTTACAACAAAGGCGGGAATACACTATTCCCAACATACGAGGGTCTATGATACTTTATGCGTGTATGCGATAAATCTTCAGAATGACAAAAAATAGATCGATATTTCAGAATTTTCAAAATCAATTTGCTGACATTGTCGTGTTTCGTTGCGAAAAGTAGTCAACTTCGAGGTTCTGGAAAGGAATGGTAGATATATTTTAACGAAAAAATTTTTTCGTTTCTCTTCTTATATTTACTCCATATTTAAAACAAAATTCGAAAAGGGCGTTGATATGTATTAATAAAAACTTTATTTGTATATATTACCTCCGAATGGTCAGCTTAACTACTACATCACTTATTATAATCACAAATAAAAAAATTTTGTTCTGTAATATTTTCAGATTACGGCAGCAGCTGGCAAGAGTTATCATAAAAACTATATAAGTAAAATCAACAAACTTTGGAAAGATGAAAATAGTCGAGTTCGAATGTACGTTATCGATCAGTTCGAGAAAAAGAAAGTGGTGACTAATTTAATAGTAAATAATAACGATAACGATGGTAAATTGATACATGACAGAGAAAATATTGTGGAGGAGGAGCTCAATGGTGAAAATGAATTGAATTCTCAATCAAGTCATGAAAATTTTTCCAACACTTATATTGAAGAAAAGAAAGTCGAAAATGATCAAGTGGAAAATATCGATGATTATGTTGCAAAGAAATGTAACGAAAAAAATAAAAATGTTTTTGAAGAAGAATGCTCGTGGTCCACGGGTTTAAAGAATCCTAGAAAAAATATTGCTGAGAGAAATGAAAATTTGTGCCAGTATCTAAAAACATGCGATTCTAACGATATTCCACTACATACAAATATTGAAGAAATAGAAAATGAGTTCTATCGAATTATTGATAATCGAGGAGCTGGAAATTGTTTGTTTCACGTTATGTCCCTTTTTTTGTACGGAACCGATGAGTTCTCCAATGACATCAGAATTCTCATCGTCAATGAAGCCATAAAAAATTGGGAAAACGTTAAAGAAAAACATGCTTTGTCGTGGGATATAGAAAAATGCATGGACCCAAGTGAATATGAATCGCTCATGTCTCAAAATAAGTATTATGGTACAGATTTTGAAATTTTTATATTCAATAAAATTTACAAAGTACCAATACATATGGGTCAAAATAATACTTTTTTACAAAATCGTGCGCACGTATGTCACCGATCTTGACGCGCTTTTGGTATGTTATAGTACATGGTAAAAAGGTCCCAAAAAAAAATTTTTAGACCCCCTCCCCCCTCCTACCCCCCACTTCCGGTATAAACGTCCATTTTCGATCTATATTTTTTCTGAGGACATGAAGCAAGTAAAAAATCTGAAAAAATTCATAAAAATACTTTTCCACAATCCAAACAACCTTGAATTTTTTCAGATTTTTTGAGTGCTTCAGGCCTTCAGATAAAATCATTGAAAATTTCAAAAATCGAGATACGGCGGTATGAGCCGATGTAGTACTCGGAAATTTTTTCAGTTATTTTTCGCATTAAAAAACATAACCTCAATTTTTTTCAGATTTTTTCAGATTACCTAACGCACCTTTTGAAGCCAAAAACCGATTTTTTTGACGAAAATAATTTTTTTAGGACAGTACGGAGCCTCGAAAAATCTGAAAAAAATTTTTTCTTGTTTTTTTCATCAAAATACGTAATCTCAAATTTTTTCAGATTTTTTAATTGAAGGCGATAGCTTCTAGGGCCGAAAAATGCTATTTTTAACAAAAAATGGTTCCTAGAACCCGATGGTTCCGGTGAAAAAATTTGAAAATATTTTTTTTGAATTCCTTGTCAAATTTTAATAAATTTTGACCGTTTCAAAAGTTCGATTGAAGCTTCCTAGCTCATTTTAGAGCAGGACAAAGATTAGTGCAAAATATCTGAAGACGTTTCTGAAGACATTAAGGAATGATAAAACTCGTTTGATGCTCTAAAATGAGCTAGGAAGCTTCAATCGAACTTTTGAAACGGTCAAAATTTATTAAAATTTGACAAGGAATTCAAAAAAAATATTTTCAAATTTTTTCACCGGAACCATCGGGTTCTAGGAACCATTTTTTGTTAAAAATAGCATTTTTCGGCCCTAGAAGCTATCGCCTTCAATTAAAAAATCTGAAAAAATTTGAGATTACGTATTTTGATGAAAAAAACAAGAAAAAATTTTTTTCAGATTTTTCGAGGCTCCGTACTGTCCTAAAAAAATTATTTTCGTCAAAAAAATCGGTTTTTGGCTTCAAAAGGTGCGTTAGGTAATCTGAAAAAATCTGAAAAAAATTGAGGTTATGTTTTTTAATGCGAAAAATAACTGAAAAAATTTCCGAGTACTACATCGGCTCATACCGCCGTATCTCGATTTTTGAAATTTTCAATGATTTTATCTGAAGGCCTGAAGCACTCAAAAAATCTGAAAAAATTCAAGGTTGTTTGGATTGTGGAAAAGTATTTTTATGAATTTTTTCAGATTTTTTACTTGCTTCATGTCTTCAGAAAAAATATAGATCGAAAATGGACGTTTATACCGGAAGTGGGGGGTAGGAGGGGGGAGGGGGTCTAAAAATTTTTTTTTGGGACCTTTTTACCATGTACTATAACATACCAAAAGCGCGTCAAGATCGGTGACATACGTGCGCACGGTTTTGTAAAAAAGTATTATTTTGACCCATATATATTTCAAAAATTTCGATGGCAGCATTTCGACCTTGGGTAGATACGAAGCTGAAGGAAATTTCGAGCCTTTGAAAATCTTGATGATTACTGCAGAAAATGATGGTCATTTTTTAAATTTGTTTAGCAATAACATTTTTATTCGTGAAACGCTTACTTTAAAAAATTTGTCGCCTGCAGAGAACATTTTGAGTGATGTTGATTATGAGAATCATAAGGATTATGAAAATGATTTTGAAGGAATCGGAATTTCCACCTATTATTCAAATCAAGACAATGTATCAATTACAGTGGATGATCCTGAAAAACATTCCATTATCGATGATTCTTCATTAAGCACAGAGGAAACCAACTTGAGCGATAAAAAACATGAAGTGATGGCTAGCACTCAATTATCTATAACTAAAAAATCACTAAGAA